GGGCAAAATCTGGAATATGCTTTGGAAATATAGCTCAGGGTGAAAAGACAGTAGTAGTGTGGATTTGTGTGTGGGTTTTCTTTTCCAAAACAGAAGGGACTGCAAATTTTAGTGATGTGTTTTCCTGATTTTAAACATGAGAGGTGATGTCAAAGGGATCAACTGAAAAGCACGATTAAAAGTTTTCTCCTATGATTTTCTTGGCAATAATATCTGTGAAAGCAAGAAAATAAAACAAGAGGCGTATAGGTGACTCTCTGATCTCTTGTCCTTTTGGAATCTGGAAAGAGACCTATAAAAGGTAGTTGGGTTTCTAATAAAGGTCTGAGTTTCTAGAATAGCTACCTAGAAGGCAGGTGGCAGAGTATGGTCTTTGAGCATATGGTCAAAGGAGGCTCACACTCTGTAGCCATTTTCCCATAATTTAACGGGTCCCATCTTAAATTTTAAAACTTTAAACAGACCTGGGACAAATTCTTCTCTCTTTATCTCCTCCTTTCTTCCCTCATTATAGTCACCTTTCAATACCATCAAGCAGTCAACAGTATAGAAGAGAGGATGCAAATCCTGCAGGCCAGCAGGTGAAGCTTAAAGGTATTTTAAATAGCAAAAGTAAACACATCTGAGGCCAGGGCCTGAAGTGGGAAAAGAGCCAGGACTGACTTGGATTCTGAGAACAAAGCTCGATGGAAGAAAAGTCACTGAAACTTGTTTTCACTCATTTTGGTAGAAGGATAGTTTCTCTTGTAATAATTCACTGACCAAGGAAGGATCTATAGTACCTATGTTAATAAAGTATAATCTTGGTGGAAATATTTGAATAGAAAGGATGAAAAACAAATGGACAGGCTCTTTCTCTCTGGTCCAGGATAAAACTTTTAAGAAATGCAAAGGATGAAGAAGAAAACTGATTGAAATGCTGGTCAATCCCTAATTATCTCTTTTCATGAAGCTCTTTGGCATCCTAGACGTGGGGAGGAAAGACTGAATTGCGCTTGGATTGAGGGAAGATTAGGCGATTGGAAATATGAATTAGAAGAGAAACCAACACCAAGAATTTGCTGTATCATCTCAGTCCCTGCATCTAAACTTCAGTGGTTATTTATTATCAGTGTGAAGCTTGTGTTTTTATTTCAGAAATTTCAGTATGCCAGGTGTTTTCCAACCTTTCACGGTATGAAGTCTGCTGTCACCACTTGGACTTGTGTAACAAAACAGTACAGCAAAGAAAGGAAATAATATCCTACCTTTAAGGAAGTATCTGTTAATGATCTGATTACCCATCCAATTGCCAGAGAGTCTTTGGATTTCTTTTCTTCCCAGATGACAGGATCCTTATCATAATCTGAAAAAACTTTCCTAGAGAGTAAGCTGACTCTTAAGCTAAAGGCCAAATTGAACCAAAGCAAAGGATATAGGGGGAAAAACCCACAAACTCTACAACTTTTTGAATAGGACTTTCAAGCAGAAACAAAGTAGGCATGGATGGGCCATGTTTTTGGCTGGGGCAATAGCTGTGGTTCAGTCTGTCCCCTAAGACAGATCAACAGCACAGGCAATGTGCACTGCCCCTGCCACCTGAGATGGGAGCAAGGCACAGGGAGATTGTGGGGTCTCTTTTTCCCTCTTATATTTTCCAGATCAAAGAATTGAGAATAACTAAAATATAACCTAGAAACAAAACAATAGAAAACTCCATTCCATGCTTTGTTTTCTAAATAATCATCTCCAAAAGGTATAGATGGCATAGTTAAACAAGATGCAGAGGCTGGTGGGAAGGGGCCTTCTGATCTGGAAGAGCCCCACTGGGTGGGGAGTACCTGGACCCTTTGCAACCCCAGGATGAAGGAAGAAGCCTTCGGTAATGTCCCAGGTGAAGCCACCAGATGGGCTGCAACAGCCTTGACTGGGTAGAGTGTAAGGTGAGGAAAGGGGAGTGCCTGGTGAGCCCCAGAAGATTCAAGGTTACTATTTTCTTTTTCTTGCCATTCATATATGAATTGGGGTCTGCCTTCATGCTGACACATGCTTAAACCAGGGGATTGCAGGGAAGTGTTGGCGTCCTGAGAAAGTGAGGTTAGAGAGTTTTGGCCCAGTTCTCTCTTTTTTTTTTTTTAATTTTATTTTATTTTATTGCATTTTAGGTTTTGGGGTACATGTGAAGAACATGCAAGATTGTTGCATAGGCACACACATGGCAATGTGGTTTGCTGACTCCATCCCCCGTCACCTGCATTTGGCATTTCTCTCCATGTTATCCCTGCCTCACCTCCCCACCCATTGTCCCTCCCTTGGCCCCCTCAACAGACCCCTGTGTGTGATGTTCCCCTCCCTGTGTCCATGTGTTCTCATTGTTCAACACCCGCCTATGGGTGAGAACATGCGGTGTTTGATTTTCTGCTCTTGTGTCAGTTTGCTAAGAATGATGGTTTCCAGGTTCATCCATGTCCCTACAAAGGGCCCAGTTCTCTTTAAAGCTGACAGATATAGAGGTCTCTTCCTAGTATCAAAACCTACCTTCCAGCCCATGATCTGCCTTTTCCCAGGCCAGGCCCATGTTTCTCCAAGAGGGCAGAGGGGAAAACCAGGCCAAGCTAAGGTAATTTCATAGTTTTGTGTCTCCAAGGAAAAGGACATCCACTGACACAAAGCATTGAGTAAAAACCCTTTAATAACAAAATAACAACATTCACTTCAGTTGTCTGGAAAACTCAGCTTACACTTGATTCAACATACCACTTTCCACAATGTTTAAAAAAAAAAAAAAAGGACATAAAATGGCATAACAAAATACACCTTGGATTTCATAAGACAAGTCTTCTTGGCAAAGTGTAATGAGCCAGACCCATGCATTGCCTGTGGTTAAAAAAAAAAAAAAAGCGGGGGGCTGGGTACCCTTGTGTCTCAAACACCCCTCTGTTTTCTTTGGATCAAAAATGCATTTGAGCTTGGTAGATTCTACAATATCTGCATTAAGAGGAACAGTTTGTGGGTTTGTGGGTGTCAGGAAAACTTTGCTGATGTGTGGTCTATATATGTACCAATCTGGTAATTCCTCATTCTAATAAAGAATTTTTTTTCTTTTCTGTGATACACACTGCCACACTGATAATATGTATATGAATATTTTCCTTTTTGTATCTCCAGATTATGTTTATTGTCTGAGATAAATTAAATTCCCACCAAGGTTTGCTGTGTTTTAACACCTACATCAGTATATGGCTCTAGCTAGGGTCATAACCTCCTAAAAGCCGTCATACAACCTTATTAATGTGTCTTGGGATTCCAGTTTAGTGCTTGGATTAATTTCCTGATTACACTATATAGGAAAGTGGGACATCTGCCATCCCAGCTCTGAGAAAACCATCTCATATACATCCATATAAATGAAGGCCATCTTGATGGTCTCAACTAATTTTTATGATGCAAATTTATAAACTGATTTTTGTAAAGGACAAGGTTTTGAAAGCATATTTAACTTGATGTTTTCTATCAGCATAAATAAAATGGTCATGAATAGTCATTAGAAACAGTTGCCAGTGATAATCTGCAAGAAGGATAAAGAACCTTGCAAATGGCTATTGAGTTGGAAGTATTGTTTTTGATATGTAAGAGATATTCAGAATGCTCACAATGAAAATGCCTCAGCTTTTTAAAGTATAAGAAACCACCGTGCGTGGTGTCTACATTCTAATGAAGAATGAGGATACAGTTTGGATTAAGTATCTTGGACTGGTTTTAAATAGTGCTTTGTACTGGATTTGCCGAAGCATCTATCCAGCCTGGTATCCTGTGAAAGTTTGTTATTTTCTGAGTAGACGTTCTTATAGAGTATTGTCTTTAAAATCAGATTGTCTCTTCTATATTGAAAGCATTTTTATGTTTTCTAATTTAAAAATTAATATTTTCTTATAGATACTGTGCAATAAAGCTGAAGTAGAATGTATGGTTTTTGCAAATGCTTTAACAGTTGATAAAATTTTACATTTGTAAAATTAATATATTGTACTGGTACAAAATAGTTTCAAATTATATTTTAAAAACCTTAAAAAAAAATAAAGCTTCCCTGGGATATTGCATGCAAATCCATTGCTTTAATGACTTGGCGTCAACGTTCATAAAATATTATGCAACAAGTAAAATGAAAAGTGTATTGAGGGGAGGTTATTCCAAATGGCAAGTAAAAAAGAAAACTAAAACTATTTTTATATATTCCATATTGTTTCTGATGTTATCATCTTGTTTCACGTAAAATTCTATCTGCCCTATTATAATCACATAAAGGTTATGTATTTGTGTAGATAAGGATTAGAAAGGGCAGTGAGAAGGCCTACTTAGATTTCTGGTCTGGTGGAAAAATCAGTATGTCCTGCGTGTTTACTCAGCTTCCCCTCCTTTGGGAAACCTTCCATCCCTTGCTGCAGTCTAGGGAAGCATCAGTCACGGTGCCTTCACCTTCACTGTGGGCTTGGGGCCCAGACTGCATCCCAGTCTCCCAGGCACAGTTTCTGTGTCACTATCATTTTGGAGACTTCCTGTCAGCAAGGAAGCCTGCATCTTTTGACTGGATGTTGGTGGTTAGTTTCCGGGCAGAGCCTGCCATCAGGATGCAGTAACCATAGAGAGAAGCAAGGCTAATAGACGAAGAGGGATTCTGAGCCCTACAACCTCATTTGAATTCCTGGATCCTGCTGTGCCTGAAACTACATCTACCCTTTCAGATTCCCCAATTATATAAGTCAATAAATGTCTTCTGTTGTTTAAGCTACTTTTGAATTCAGCTTCTATGGTTTTCAAACAAAAATCCTGACATAGGTTGGCAGTCACGGGCAAGAACAACAAAAAAATGTCTGTTTAGAGTTCCATTAATGATGCTATAACACTGAAAGTTAAAAACTATTCCCACCCCCAACACACAAACACATATGGAACGAATGTAAGTGTGAGGACATCCTCCCCCATCCCTCATAAGAGAAATCGTGCCAATTGGCCATATTAACAGAGTTTTTTTAAATAAACTTTTCTGTATTAAAAAGCAACAGTCTGAAGTATTGTCCAATGTAAGTGCTGTCAATACAAATCACTGGTGGAAAGGAGCAGGACACACCCTCAGCAAAGGTCATACAATGGGGGGTAAAATGTTTGTGTTCTTTGGGGAGGAATTTTTGCTCTGTCCTGTGGAGGTCAAGGACACTTCTGCCCCAACAGCTGCCTCTGACTTCGGGAGAGCTTCTACCAGTGGAGGCAGCTGAACAGTGTCAGCTGTGTGCTGGAGAGGGTCCCACTGATCACCTGAATGCTGAATATGCCTCATGGGGCCATCTTTTGTTTTGTCTATAGTCTCTCTGGTGATCTCATCTGCTGAAGGAGAGAGAAGGCAGAAAGAACAAGCATTCGAATGGGATTATATGGGAACTGTCCTTTAGGCTGTAAATCACTTAGTGGAAACCATGACTGTGATGATATAAAAACAGCTCATTTGTAAAGCGCATTCAATGTGCCAGGCATTATTCTAAGCACTTTCTGTGTACTAATTCATCTGACCATTTCAGCAACCCTGGAGAATAGGCATTATTCTCGTTCTCATAAATGGAGTTACTGAACTACAGAGAGGTTAAGTCCATACCTGATAAGCGGTGGAGCCAGAATTCAATCCCAGGCAACCTGACTCTTGTGACCATGTGCCTAACCACTAGGCTATATTGCATATAAAAATTTGCAAAATACCATAATCTGGCACTGACAAATTCTAAAGGTACTTATAGGGCATAAAGGGGTGGACACAGTTAAGGAAAAGGGGAGGAGGAGAAAGGAAATTGATTATAGGAGAATAATGGAAAATCCTAATAAGGAGCAAAAAAGGAAAATCCCAAAGGTAAGAAATGGCAGGCTTCCTGGTCTACGGGAATAGGACTATGTGACAGGCTGTACCTTTTCTGCTCGAGTGATGACGGCCTTGAACCTTGTTCTTCCTTGTCTCAGAGGAGAAAACGAAACTGGATTTCCTCAGGGTCTGGGGCCTGGGCTGTGGCTTGAGGTTCCTAGACTGATGAATCCAAGCATGCTTGAGGGCCTGGTCCGGGGTCATGCGAAGAGAAGGTTCCCATCTGCACCCCAACAAAGCCCAGCATGGGTTACTGTTTTACTTCCTTTTAGTATATTAAAACATTTTAAAAACCCAATAAATATTTTTATTTAAGCTATGTTGATATCTCAAAGATATCATCACAGAACAGAGATTATAGCATATAACTTAAAAGTACCTGGAAACAGCTATTGAAAATAATCTTTTTAGAAGATGT